GGTCACAGTACCGGCCGCCGCGCCGAAATGTAGGTCGGGCGCCCGGGCACACGTGGTCCGGTTGTCCGTGTCCAGGTCGGGTCGGCAGATCGCCGCCGGAAAATGTTGTCGGTCGCTGACGGCCAGGCCTTTCACCTCCGAGCGGGGAGGCAGGCTCGCTGATGGGCAGACCTTTCACCTCCGAGCGGGGAGGCAAGCGGGGTGATCAGCAGGACACAGCGTTGCTTGCAGGCAGCGCAGCCGGAGGTGAAGGAACATCCAGCAAGTTGGGGGGGGGGGGCAAAGCCAATTTTTAAGTTGATTCTTTCCATAAATCACCCTAGGGTTAATGATAAATATTATTGAATAGTGTTGGGGAGGACTCCCTGCCCCCCCCCCCCCCCCCTCCCCCGCTCCCACTGTTTCCGCACCCGTGAGTTCAGCCATGCTTGCGGGGACGGCGGTGCTGGATGGCCGCGGATGTGCACGGGAGGTTATTTGGCGTTCAGGAACACGGAGGCGGACGCTCTTCTTATGCATGTGCTCAGGCATGCAATCACACATTTTAAGTCACTGGGGACCACTGAACTTTGATTGTGTTTTGCACGGCCAGAGCACAAAAGCAGCTCAGCCTGGTCGAAAGCTACTGTGTTCCGGACCGCACCAACCCTGCAGTGGTGGCAATCCGCTCAAGGTCGTGCCTGCCTTGCCAACCCAACTAGGGATCTTTCCACATATTTATGTGCCAAGTCCTACCATCTTTCTGAGCTTCCATTCTCATTTTCACTCCCATGTGCATTACATCAACGATCACCGGTCGGAAAACCCGCAACAGATGGAAAGTAATTGCAACATGGTACAACTGCAGCCGGTACAACACCACAACGCTTGAGCGCACCGTCAGGAAGACCACTCGGACTTCGTGCAATGATGGCCCCAGCAAAGCCTTTGAAGTTGTTATCCTTTCCACAGCGCAGCTATGGAAAGCTTGTTTGTTTGCTGTCAGCTTGTTTGAAGTCCCTAAGTGATCAGCTCGCGCACATATGACGTCATAGAAGTGGGCAACCACGGACATAAACAGAGAACCAGTGCTGGACGGGCACGAGACACTATTGATGGACCGCGACTGTCTGATGCGATTGGTTATGCCTCGGACCCGTCAATTCCCAATCGCTGGTCAGTCACGACACGCATTACTGAGCATCGATCGCTGGTATATTTGTATCATTGGTCATCGATCCCAGTACTCCGTGCGTTTCGCCATCGACCCCTGGTCCTCCGACCGAGGTGCGGGCGGGGCTCGCCGCCTCTGAGCAGAGCACGGCTCACCAGCTCGGCCGCCCTGAGGCCAGATCGTCGTTGGGAAGGTACTTAGCTGACGTAGCCACCGGGGCAGCCAAGCGGGGGAGGGGGGTGGTTGGGTGCGGACCCGGATCAAACCTCCCCTCAACCCTGATTTATTTTTCGTTATTTTCGCCATAGCTAGCTCATGACAGAACGTTCGAATGGGCGCGATGTGTACTCGCAAAGCGATGCCTTCCAGTGCACGATGTGTACTCTCAGAGCGGTACCCTCCAGTGCGCGATGTGTACTCTCAGAGCGGTACCCCCGAGTGCGCGATGTGTACTCGCAGAGCGGTACCCTCGAATGCGCGATGTGTACTCTCAGAGCGGTACCCCCGAGTGCGCGATGTGTACTCGCAGAGCGGTACCCTCGAATGCGCGATGTGTACTCGCAGAGTGGTACCCTCGAGTGCGCGATGTGTATCCGGAGAGTGGTATCCTCCCACGCCCATGTGTATCCGGAGGGTGGTGTCCTCCCACGCCCATGTTTATCCGGAGAGTGGTATCCTCCCACGCCCATGTGTATCCGGAGAGTGGTATTCTCCCACGCCCATGTGTATCCGGAGAGTGGTATCCTCCCACGCCCATGTGTATCCGGAGAGTGGTATCCTCCCACGCCCATGTGTATCCGGAGAGCGGTATTCTCCCACGCCCATGTGTATCCGGAGAGTGGCATCCTCCCACGCCCATGTGTATCCGGAGAGTGGTATCCTCCCACGCCCATGTGTATCCGGAGAGTGGTATTCTCCCACGCCCATGTGTATCCGGAGAGTGGTATCCTCCCACGCCCATGTGTATCCGGAGAGTGGTATCCTCCCACGCCCATGTGTATCCGGAGAGTGGTATCCTCCCACGCCCATGTGTATTCGGAGAGTGGTATCCTCCCACGCCCATGTGTATTCGGAGAGTGGTATCCTCCCACGCCCATGTGTATTCAGAGAGTGGCATCCTCCCACGCCCATGTGTATTCGGAGAGTGGTATCCTCCCACGCCCATGTGTATTCAGAGAGTGGTATCCTCCCACGCCCATGTGTATTCGGAGAGTGGTATCCTCCCACGCCCATGAGAAGCCCTGGCCACGCCCTGCGTAGTCACGTGAATTACGAACAACTGTGCTCCAAAGCGTACGACGCTGCTGTGACGTACTGATTCATACTGTCATATGTAGAACTTGGAGACAATTGTTTACCATCAAACCCGTAACTTGGTAGCTCGCTGGCTCCCTCTGGTCGCCCCACAGAACAGGCGACTTCCTCTGGTCGCCCCACACAACAGATGACTTCCTCTGGTCGCCTCACACAACAGACGACTTGCTTTGGTCGCCTCACACAACAGGCAACTTCCTCTGGTCGCCTCACGCAACAGATGACTTCCTCCGGTCGCCTCATACAACAGATGACTTCCTCTGGTCGCCTCACATGACAGATAAGACCCTGAGCAGCTGGCCGAGTGGCGATGTCTCAAAAGCTGGGCCAAGCATTGGACCCGTCTGAGTAGACATCGGGACGTCTTAGCCAGGCACTGATCTAGGGGATCGATTCTGCCCCCCTCCCCTTGCTGTCGGACATTCGCGATAACTCAAAAGTTCGTTGTGATATCGGAAGGAGTTTTTTGGCACCTGCCATTTGGTCAATGGCATGCCTGGTGCAAAAAAAATAACACCCGCGGTGTCGTCATGGATGAAGGGTAAGCGACGTCAGCATGACATGTTTCCGATTTTTGACAAAAGCGCATGGCCGTGGACAAATAACGATACAAACCGAACGAAAGAAAAGAGTTGGCATCTATGAACGGTAAATAGGAAACAATTAGCTCATCATTGGTACGCATCGTCATTGTATTGTTTCAACGTTGCACATCTAAATATTGGCGTGCCAAATGACAAAAATATTGATGAAAAGTTAACTTTGTTCGGCCTTTAACCCACAGTTATGCAAAAGGAGCGAGGTCTCCTAGACGCGACTGTGAAAAGGCCTGTACCGAGTTTCAGACAGATATGTGTAAAAATGACTGAGGTATGACTTGAAATGTATCGCAGCGCGTGTGTCCCGTGTCCAGGCGGCTCCGGACCGAAGGCAGCGGGCGGCAGGGAGTAATGCCGCGTCCCGGCGGCGCCGTGAAGCAGCGGCGCAAGCTGTTTAAGGTGGTGCTCGGGCTTAGACCGCACTCTCGGCGTCACCGGTTAGTTAGAGTTCCGTGGCCCGGCCGCTTTTGACGTGAGCAGGACGCCAAATATGCTAAACCCCGCCAATATTGTGCAGCTGAGGAGCCCGGCCAGTGGTGTTCTACGGAGGAGCCAGGTCGACGTTGTGCCACTGAGAAGTCCGGTCAGTGTGGTACCGCTGAGGGGCCCGGTCAATGTAGTACCGCTGAGGGGCCCGGTCAATGTAATACCGCTGAGGGGCCCGGTCAACGTAGTGCCGCTGAGGGGCCCCGTCAATGTAGTACCGCTGAGGGGCCCGGTCAATGTAGTACCGCTGAGGGGCCCGGTCAATGTAATACCGCTGAGGGGCCCGGTCAATGTAGTACCGCTGAGGGGCCCGGTCAATGTAGTACCGCTGAGGGGCCCGGTCAATGTAATACCGCTGAGGGGCCCGGTCAACGTAGTGCCGCTGAGGGGCCCGGTCAATGTAGTACCGCTGAGGGGCCCGGTCAATGTAGTACCGCTGAGGGGCCCGGTCAATGTAATACCGCTGAGGGGCCCGGTCAATGTAGTACCGCTGAGGGGCCCGGTCAATGTAGTACCGCTGAGGGGCCCGGTCAATGTAATACCGCTGAGGGGCCCGGTCAACGTAGTGCCGCTGAGGGGCCCCGTCAATGTAGTGCCGCTGAGGGGCCCGGTCAACGTAGTGCCGCTGAGGGGCCCGGTCAATGTAGTACCGCTGAGGGGCCCGGTCGATGATGTGCCGCTGAGGGGCCCGGTCAATACGGGGCTAAGCCTTCATGTAATGCAGTGTTACACGAGGTTGGTGAGTCGTCAGTAACGGGCTCCTTCAGATGTGGGACGGACCGCCTGTGCTGACCGCAGTGCACGACCTCAGTAACCCGGCTCAAAGTGGGCGTGCGCTGATAAGGAACTGTCATAGCCGAAGCGTTTCCTACATGCACACTTCTGAGCCACCCGTCCGGCGGCGCATCGCGTGTGACATTAGGTTGTCAGCCCCGGACACAAAGGATGCCAGCCCCGGACACGAATGCCACAGCGGCTTCACTCCATAATGAAGTTAAGCCTTCGCGGACGTTCCGTGCAGGAAGTTGGTATTCGGTCGAACGGAGCGCGCCCGGCGCCGAGACGTCTCAAAGTTGGCCCGGCTCTGTGTGCAGCCCGCCACAGGGCCGATCAGAGCAGCGAGCCTGGGTCGGGCCGACCCGCGCCGAGTCCTACTGCATGGAACTTGACCGTTTCTCACGATGTATAACTTGCGAGGACGTTATCAGCTGTGCTTTAGAAAGGGCATGTGGACAATGGGGGTCAACTGGCCACGAGCAAACCGTCGTGGGTGGATGAACTACGCTGTCAAACACGCTCGGCGCCGATGCCTTCACCGACAAGTCAAGGGCGGCGCTCTGGTTCACTTACGCATGTGCTCTGTACATCATATGTATGACTGCTAGAGCCTGTCGTTCAGATAGATCCATACTGATGTGACATCAAATCGAGTTGTTCATATGTCTATACTCGTTTACGTTGTGTTTTATTTGCTCGTTTTTACGCAGTGCAACATAGTCGTTAGAAGTGTAACGCCTACCTCAGAATAAGTGATTAATCACAAGGTTGCGATACTTAGGTCGAGGGACCGAGTTTGACATCAAGCTATCGCGTGAAAAAACAGACGTACAACACATGTTCATAATGTATGACAACTAAATCGAAGAGCTACCCAAGTATTCACCTTCCGACGCCGTAGCTTGTCACCACTCCCAGAACAACGCTATGGTTGGCATGATCTTAAGTTATGGATTTAAGCAAGTAGTGGTTTAATCAACTGTTGCGGGCCCTTTTAAACCAGCATAAAGAATCACCTTAGCGCGACGAATCCTAAACGGGAGAATATGGCGGTTAGGACACAAATTAACTCTTTGGCCTCAAACAAAGTAACACTGTTACAACGAAGAAAACAAGAGTGTGTTAATGACCCCCTGGAACACCCATCCAAACGATACGTTAGCAAATTATGTATGGCTACAAAAGCTACCAATGTACGCCTTTGTGAACAAAAAACTATGCTACTGACAAGAGTTCACACTCTCCATTACTTCAAGTGTTAATTCAGATAAACACCAAAAGAAAGAGACGATCACTAAACAACATGTGGCAGTGAAACCATGGATGCGTGATGTTAACATGTTAACCCATATCTCTCAGACCTTTTCCACATTAACGCCTCCAATTTCATCACAGCGAAATCAAATAGCTCTCACTCAACCACCCAAAGCCAAGCTTCTAAGCACATGCCTTTTGAACTCTGAATCCACTATCATGTTAACCGCAGTCTGTACACACCCACGCCGCCAGTCAGCCGAGCGGCGCGCAGCCCGTCCACACGAGCCTCCGGACGCTGCGCCCAGTGACGGCCGGCCGGCTCCGCAGCAGCGCAAGCCACGGGCTGGCAACGGCTCCGCAGCAGCGCGAGCCACGGGCTGGCAACGGCTCCGCAGCGGCGCGAGCCACGGGCTGACATCGGCTCCGCAGCGGCGCGAGCCACGGGCTGACATCGGCTCCGCAGCGGCGCGAGCCACGGGCTGGCACCAGCTCCGACCGGCGCCTGCAGCCAGGCCTGCGCGCCCACGCCGACGCTGGCTGGCGCTGGCCACACCTCTGCCCACACGGCGCAGCTCACCAGCCGCCTCCGCCGGCCCCTGGCACTCCCGACACTGCGGACACTTCGGCACTCCCGGCGCTCCGCTGGACACCCGGACGTCGGCGCAGACCGTGGCGGCGGCTCGGCGTGCTCCGGCGAGGCGATAGGGCAGGCGGACGTCTCCGAAGGGCCGCGAGCGTCGCCGCGTAGGCCCGCGCTCGCCGCCGCATGGGACTGCGACGCCGCCGGTCGGCCGGACACGAGCACCAGCCGTCAGGCCGAGCGAGCGTCCAGCGAAGACGGCAACGGTCGCCGGTGCGCGTCACCACGTCGCCTTTCGCCGGTTACGACTGCCGGTACTCGAGGAACAGGAGGTACGCGCCCGCCGCGTACACCAGCGTGTTGAACAGGCCGAACACCTGCAACGTGGCGCGACGGTCAGGGGTCAGAAGATCATAAAGGTCAGGGGTCAGAAGACCACACACACAGGGGCTGAGCTGTACGTGGCTCATCGCCAGCAGCACACAGAGCAACGCCCTCTCGGAAGCCTGGCTCAGTGCTGTTGATTGCCTCAAGCGGACCGTACTTCAAGGTGGGAACTCAGACGTAACGTTTATTTTGAAGACGATATGAATGACGTTCAGAAAATATGGAGAATATGTGGTAATGCTGTTAAAGGTTAAACGGTCACCTGACTAACATCTTAAGTTGTACCTTAGTTTCACCTTCAGCTCGTCTCCGCCCGTTGCTGTCTGAACATTAAAAGCTAGGTAAATTATGGCCGTTTGATTCTCGTCTATGTACTACATCTCTACGGAATAAGCAGTAACTCGCAGTTCACATGTTTATGGGCATGCTTCATAAACAGTTCGATGTCCCTTCCATCTCACACAAGCAGCAAGCCAACCGAGCTACTCGGGCTCGTACCAATGCGAGAGAAACTGAGCAAAAAAGCATTAACTCCCACAGGATGTTATTGGCATCAATCTTACCAGTAATAGGCAGGCAGCGCTATGCTTCCAAAGCATAATCTACTTACTTGTCGGTAGTAACTCCAATGAGGTCCCTAAGCTAGTGCGAGCACGTGTGTGAGACATGAAAGGCTGCTTTTCAAACCTACATGTCAGAAGGCAGGGCAGTGTGGAGCATGTGGGGGTGGTTCCACTGTCGTGACGCTGAAGTCGTGATGTTTGTAAGTGTCGGTGTTCAAACTCCTACTGAGACGGCTGGAATATAGTTCCATAGCTGACACCGTAAGGGTGCCCTGGAGCACATCACAAACGCTAAGCTTGATAGCGGCGCGATAAGGGATGACCCACCAGGATCGTACGCCGCCGTCGCAGAAGTTCAATAAAACCGTATTGCTCGCTTTAGGTTCACCAACAAAGCCTGTCGTACCTTTTCAACACAGGCCGCATCGTTCAGCGCCGACAAGAGGTGAGATCGTGTCGCCTGAGGTCAGTCAGTGACCTACATCGCTCGTACTTACGCCAGCAGCAATATTGGCGCCAAAAGTGGTGAAAATCCTTCCTTTGGTGGCCCAGGCAGTCAGCTGTGTAATCACCCCGACAGCGTACAGAATAGTCAAGATTGACGTGTTAATCAGCTCCTGTAACAGACGATGTCAAGTTGGCCATGCGGGTCAATCATGCGTTAAGCTCACGCCAAGGCCAAGGGTTAGTCAATGTCAGGCTTTGACTGGCGCTAGCGGGCCTTTCACGCGCGGGCGTGGCACGCAAGACGCAACACAGAAGCGGCAGGCGGCCGGAAGCTATCTTGACCTTGGGTGACCTTCAGCGATTGGGCGACTACTTACACCGGCCGCAATGTTCAGGGCGTAAAAGTTGTGGTTGAAATACGGAGCAACAGTAGCCAGCTGCGAGACGGTTCCCACAGCTAGCACAATGGTCATGATCACTGTGTTCACCACCTCCTGAAAGATGGCGGTGCCGTCAACCCTCAGACCCCGTGGCGGTTGGTACAGGACTGTGAAGATGCTGACTGCACATACCGTCCAGTTCTCCACGGCGTTGTCGACCGCGCGCCAATCTCCCCACACGGAAATGCATTTGGCACAGATAATTGACGGAGCAAAACAGCGATGAAATTGTTCAGACACTACCAGACAACACTAAATGGCGCGCCTTATTTCATGACAGCCTAGTGATGGTATCGATGACAGTGATGATTGTGTAGCGAGGCCACGGACACACAATGGCGCAGAGAGTGCGCGTGATGTGGAAGCCCCGCTGCACGAGCACACTTACGCACGTTCGCTTCCGGACATGTTCCACTTTCCCATGTACGAACAACAGTCACCGCCTAGCACATGCGTCCAACTGACCTTAGTGGACACCCCGCTGCGGCTACGAGACGCGACGCTGAGCTCATTTGAGCAGCCACAATGACCAAAGCCCACACATGCACGTCGAAAAAGTTGTCTCGAGCCACAGAACGTTTCCACTGACACAGTTGCGTTGCATAAAGGTGACATTTTGGTGACATAAAGGTGACATAAACATTTTGCAATGACCAGCCGCAACTATCTGAAGACGGGTCCACGATCGGACCCCAAAGCCGATGCGCTGTACGCTTAACATGTGTTGCACACGACAGAGGAAAGCCCAACAAGCTTTCCACCACAGCCTTGTTTTCCATGTCATTGGTCCATGGAGCCGGTCTGGCCTCGCTGTCGGCTCTCATCGATCTGCAATGACTCACCGTCAGCACCCACTGGATGGGGATCTGCGGCAGCGCCTCCCGTATGGAGAACAGGTAGATGAAGATCCAAACCATGGTGGAGAGAAAGCTGATGACGACGGCGAATAGGAAGAAGCCTGTGCCGCTGAAGTAGGACGGACTGGCCAAAATCAGGCAGAGGATGCCAATGGCCTGCAAACGGACATCCCGGTCAGCCGATGTAGATCACGTGGGAACGAATTAGCCGCCTTAATCATTACCCCGACTTCACCAGCGGTGACGGGACGTACTAGGTGATACGTGGGTGTTGTGCGTTATGAACGTGCGTTAAAAACGCTTTCAGATTGCATGCAGATATCCTCTTCCTTCTCTTATCCTTTGATCAGCGTAAGGCGCGTTATTTTCATTACAGTACATCACGACATCACGTTAGGCCTCTTCTGCTGCTTTCCTTTTCTCATAATGTTCATGAGCGCAATGCAGAACAAGATTGACTTCCGGTGACTTCAAGTGGCTGATGCAGTTTGCTCGGAAGTAGCTCAGGAAAACCAATAGGGACAGCATACCCCGAGTGACTGGTTGGTTTACCAGTCAAGAACACGGCACAAAGTGACACGCCGTTAGCTGGTTTCAGCGATATTACAAACGTCGATCCACGTCCCCCAACAGCCGGCGACGCCAGGCATCCGCGGAATGCGCATCGCCCGTAAGAAAAACGAACAGGAAAGTGCCCCCCGTGCAGTCGCCAGCCCCGCCTTCCTTCTTCGCCGCGCAGATCCCGGTGCTGACCCCCCCCCCCCCCCCCCACCCCCACCCCCACCCCCCACCCCCACCCACCCAGCCACGACCGGGCGCGAAGCTCGTCTGTGAGAGCGGCAGGCCAACAAACAGCAGTGGCGGCGCGCGCCAGCTCGGCAGCCAGCGCCGCGCCGCGCCGCCCCTGCCGCCCCTGCCGCCACCGGCAGCCACCGGCTGCAGCCCCTCAAGGCCGGGCTGAACCGTCCCGGCCGACGCGGGCGGCGGCCGGTGGCCGGCGCGGTCTGCCGCGGCCGCCAGTGCACGATGGTGGGGCGCTGGCGGCGGACACCGCGCCGCCCCTGCCGCCCCTGCTGCCACCGGCAGCCACTGGCTGCAGCCCCTCAAGGCCGGGCTGAACCGTCCCGGCGGACGCGGGCGGCGGACACGCGGCCGGCGGCCGGCGCGGTCTGCCGCGGCCGCCAGCGCACGATGGTGGGGCGCTGGCGGCGGACACCGCGCCGCCTCGCTCTTTCGAACCAGGTCCTAAGACGGCAGACGTGGAGGCTGGTGTTCGGTGGCGTCAGACGTCGCGGTCGCCGTCCCAGCGCCGCACTTCCGTCCTCGTCAAAGCCACCAGCGGCCGCTGATGGTGAGTGACGGGGCCGGGTGGCTCCGCCGGGCGTTGCAGGCGTGTTCGCCGCCCAGCGGGCAGAAAGGCAACGTTGGGGTTTGAGCCAACAGCAACACGTTCCCTTTCGGTGGGCGGCCGGCGGTGAGCTTTCCCAATGCGAGGTCGGTCATGTCAGCGGCCGACAGTTTGTTTAGAGCCTGTCTGGTAACCCGCGCGTGTGTGACATGATGACCCCAAGCCAGAGCATGACGTCATTAATGATTAGTTGAGGCTATCGTAAGCGTGGCTGCTCTGTTCAGTGCTGGCAACAGCCAAGTGCCCTCACGAAGGCGTGTTCTGGGCCCGCTTAGACAATGTTGCGACAAAGTCCTCGTCGCCCCCACAGAAGCTCTCGTTGCCATTAAGCGAGACCTCGCGCGCATCTGATTTCATCTCATTTTCATTTTTCATTTTCTTTTTTTTCATTTTCAGGACCGATGATGATGCTGTTCCTAGAAGCATCGTCAGCATTTATGCCAAATAGAACATGTCCGTTCCCAGTGGCATGAACTAGTGTCCAGTAGTCGAGAACGTCGATTTGCGAGGCCAAACCACTGAGACTACCGGATCGTCATTTACGTCTGGTGAAGGGAAACTGCGACACAGGTTCTTCGGGATGCCCCGTTAACGACGCCCTTGTGTTGCACACACATTAACAAAAATCACCATTCAATATGCCACGAAATATATAAATATATATATATATATATATATATATATATAAATATATATATATATATATATATATATATATATATATTATATATATATATATTTATATATATTTATCTCTCTCTCTCTCTTCATCTCTCCATCTCTCTCTCTCTCTCTCTCTATCCTCTCTCTCTCTCTCCTCTCTCTCTCTCTCTCTCTCTCTCTCTCTCTCTCCTCTCTCGTCTCTCTCTCTCCTCATCTCTCTCTCCTCTCTCTCTCTCTCTCTCTCTCGCTCTGAAACTATTGCACAGAAATAATGCACGTTTTCATCATGTCATGATCACGATTAACGCGACATTTTTTCCGTAATTTCCTCCGATCACGACAAAAGCCTCCGCATCATGATTCCTCGACATATTGTGTTGGTGAGGACCTTGTCATCTTAAGTTTAAATAAAAATTCCGCACAGTGTGCAGTATCCAGGCGTGTGCTAACGCATAGCACAACAGTGGGCTTTTAAAAGCAATTAAATGCCACATAACGTCGCAGGAGAAAGGATGCCATCAAAAAGTGCTGGATGCTTGTGCTCCCAGAGTGGAGGGAGGATGTTAGGAACATTCACCACACGTCATGTGGGATGTGCACGCTATACGCCGAGGTGGATAGGGGTTTGATCAAGACTTATCTCACAGAATTACACAACGTCTTGCCGTGGTGGGATCAGGTAGAAAGCGAGTCAATCGCACGCACGTCCGACCTGAGCGGCCCCCTGATGTGACAGCATGAGGACAAATATATCACGATTCGGCTCTCCAATCCGCTCCATGTTTCACAGGCTGTTGCTCACAGTTCACGGCAATTTCACAGGTGGCGTTGGTTCATTTCGCGATGCAATTCGGATGGATTTTCTTTACCGCCATTTTACCTCCTGCTAACATTCAGCCAGAAAGGAACGCGCGGTCCAAAACCATTCCAAGCGTCCCAAGCAACAACCTTATCTGTACCTCCATAGCCTTACATCAGCCCACCACAGCGTGCACGGTAGGCTAATCGCCGTGAGCTCTTCACTTCCACGAGACGCCGCCCCGGAGCAGAAGACGGGCAGCAGTGCTGACGTCACCGGATCGCCGGCGTCGGACGGTTGGTCGAAGCATCCGACAAACACGTCACCGCCCCGCTCCCCGCCAGGCCCAAACCGGTTCACCTACACCCATTCGCCTCCGCTGCGGCCTCCAGGGCGCCGCAGGGGCCGCTTCAGCGCGGGGAAGGCAGGCCCAGCTAGTTCACCGGGGACATATGGCTGGAGAGTGCGGGCTTTCATCGACATAGAGACAATTTTACCATAGCTGCTTCAAAAGACACTCGTCCCGGCCGCTCGTCCCCCACCCCCCTCCCCTCGCCCCACTTTCGCGCCCCAGACGGTGGGAAAGGGCAGCGCAAAACGCACAGGCGCACTAACGAATTGCTACATCGCTACACATGTACGACCCCAACCCGCCGACCACTTGACAGAAGTCCTGAAGCCCACCACCTCGTAAAGCCCCCGTGCTTTGCACCCCTCCCCCCCCCCCCCCCCTTCCCATCGGCACGTGCGTGACGCATCGCGCAGGCGTGTTTGGCAGCACGTTCGTGTCCGTCACGTCCGCTGGGGCGGACGTCACGGGTGGGGCCGTGACGCCCCCTCCCCGCCCCCTTCCCTTCCGCGCGAGCGCCCGTCAGGCCGGGACCGGTCGCGACGGCGCGCCCCGGGAGCACCACGCCCATCCCGGCAAGACCGCGACTGCCGCGCGCCGAACCCCCGTAAATATGGCGCGCCTGGCAGCTGGGCCCGGCGGCGGCGGGCGCGCCGTCGGTCTTCGGGTGCGCGGCCGACACCGGTGCGCGCCATTGAAAGCGCACACCGCGTGCTGCTCGGTCGCAGCCCGCGGACGGTTGTGGCGTGAGTCACGCATCCGTGGCGAGGCCTTGGGCGGCGGCAAACGTGGCGCACGCGGCACATTTCCGCCGCCACCGACGGGATTGGCCCGGACACATGAGCCACCGAACACCTGCATCGACATCGGCCATTGTCTGCCGCCCCGGTGTCTTCACACGTCTTCCTCGCCGCTTATTCGCGTTCCGGTGTACTCCAGAATTCCCCGCTCCCTTGGCACAATGCCTATATTCACAGCATCGCGACCTCACATCCCAGTCTCCTACCAGCGGTGACCGCCTGGCCACCAGACGGTCGGCTGTTACATCTCCGCCCGTGTCACGTGACACTTGACTTGGGAACGGGTGGGGGCATAGCTCACACACTTCCCAAAGCATGACATTAACCCTGCCATGATGCGAGCAAAACATCAGCCTGAAAAAGATCACTTCCATCAATTTCGGACACTTACGCGCCTGGCCGTGCTGTACCGTACCCTAAAGATGCTCGCGCATTGGTCTAAAAATGGCGCGTATCGCAGCGCGCCATCCGTCGGAGCGCGCGCCGCGCCGGCAGTCGCTGCGGCCAAATAAGGAGGCGGCGGGCGGCCGGACCGCCGCCTGAGACTGCACTGACCAGGTCAGGCAAAGCTCGCGGCCAGAGCACGCCTCTCATCTGGCCCTATCGCAGAGCGGGAGGTGAATCCTGTCCGTATCGAGTGCCCCTACTCCCATCGACGCGATGCAGGCAAGATGGTTTTAACACTTATGTCCAACATGGTCGTAATTCGCCGGGCGGGCGAGCTTCAAACCCAGTAGGGGCGTACACCTTCGACGCCATATGGTCGGTAAAACGATGCCACGCAAACCCCCGCGCGCCACGGCACGGGTAAATAAACCGCCCACGAGCGAGACGGCTGAGGTGTAGAGACGCCGGCGTCGGGCGGCGGCGACACGCGCGCCGACCGGACGCACGCTCCAGCCTGGCAGAGCGGCGAGGGACTCGACACGCGCGCCGACCGGGCGCACGCTCCAGCCTGACAGAGCGGCGAGGGACTCTCGAGGCGGGCTGCAGGACAATCTGCCCACGGCACGCCGGACTGCCAGACCGCCGCGCCGCGCCAGTCTGGCAGAGCGGCGAGGGACTCTCGAGGCCGCTGCTCCGCGCCATGCGTACTTTACGAACACAGCCGTGGCGGCGTCCCAGCTGCTGGCAGGG